GTATATCAGAGATTATACCATTTATCTATGCAATGGAAAAGTTTCTAGACTACGCTTGTGACACGGCAACTGAAATAAAAACTGTTGTTGATGAACTTAAGAAAGATTTTAACTGTCGTTTTCAAAAATACAAGGATAATGTTGATTTAAAAATCGCGATGATGCTTGATCCTTGTTTCAAGTTAAAGTTTGTTGAAGACAAGAATCATAATATGTTTAAAGAAATACTCCATTTAGAGTTCTACCGTTGTTGTTCCAAATCTCATTTAGAACAAGTAAAAGAAATTGAATTTGGTGTAGCAAGAGGTAGTGGATCAGACTCAGAAGAATCATTAAGTTCATTTTCAGAATCTAAAATTCATGAGTCCGACTCAGATTTTGAACTGTCAAAGAAAAATGGTAAGAAAACAGAATCTATTTATGATTTTTATATTGTTTATACATTAAATATTAAATATTTTTTTTATCTCTATTCTTATTCTCCATTTTTTTTATTTCAAAAGACGGATAACAGCATTCTTTTATTTTGTTTAGTTGATTAAATTGTAATATTTTAAAAATTTAAACCTAAAATTATCACCTATATTTTATGTATCAACACCGATGAAGTCAACTTCTACTTGAGCCTTCCAATACTGCCAAAGAATGAATGCCCTTATAAGTGGTGGAGTGCATACCGTTACACTTCCTCTGATAAAGATACTTACAAGTTGAATTTGTCAAAGTTTTGAAAGAAAGTTTTGTGCGCGCCTCCTTTATCTGTAAAAAGTGAACGCTTATTTAGCACATCTGGAAACATATTTGAAGCAAAAAGAAAAAAGTTCAACTGATTCAACTTTTTAACAAAATTTAAAACAAATACCAAATTTTGTGTCAAATTAAAATAATGACTACTTTTATATTTTTACATTTTACGTGTTTACATTTTTATAAATTTTTTCAAAGAATAGACCATAATTTACCTTAAGTATCAGTAAATGTCTAAGATTGAAGAAAGAATTTAAGATGTAATCTTTCCTATACCTGCTAGATATATAGAGTTAAGACTCTAAATTTCACTCTCTAAATTTTTGTACAAAATTTGTTTAAATTTTTTATAATATTGGTTTTGTTTTATAATTTTCCTAAAATGGGCATGTAGTCCAAAACATTGAAACCTAAAACATTGATATATAATTTTGAAAGCAACTTGATTATTCAAACCACCGTGGTGAAGTAAATTGAGCTTTAAATTACGTATAACTTAAGCCGAAGCTTCGGCTTCGGCAAAGTGGCTTCGGCCGAAGCTTCGGCTTCGGCAAAATTGCAGCTTCGGTACATCCCTAGTAAAAAGTACCTCAAAAAATTTTTTTGAGTTTAAATAATAACGATCGCTTTTACGTTAAAAGTTAATGAAACTCAACGAAGCGTGCTCAAGAACAGCTGCTGAAAAATAAAACGTCAATAGTTTTTCGAATAATTTTTAATAATAATTTTTAAGAATAATTTTTTCACTGAAATATTTCTTTTATACCTATAAGATTTTTATTCTAACATTTTATTTTATTTTACTAGAAATAAAATTCCTTGTTAACATTAAAAATCTATTCAAAACGTTCGTTTAAGTTTTTTATTAATACGAGAAAAAAAATCAAATATTAGCATATTTTATAATCTTTTTTAAATTTAAGTTAAAATGTTTTTTATTCGTTTAGTATAGACAAAACGTAACAAACGTCGATAAAATAAACAAATGTTTTTACATTTTAAAAAACGAAACATTCCAAAACATTTTTAAATAATAACATAAACGATTTAAAGTAGTTTTGCGGTAATTAAGTAAATTGGTGAAGTTAATGTTGATAAATATGAAAAGCAAATAAAGAGAATTTAATGACGTCAAAAATCACGTCGTGCTTATGCGTCGCGCAGTTCTAATTCATCGCAAGGCCTGCTATAGTATTTTACACATGTTAATAGAATCAGCGTCTTCAACACAGAGTTTCAAAAATCTTACTACCTACTGACTTAAGAAACATAAGCTGTACTCTCGTTAAGATATAACAGAGAGAGTGTAACCATGTAACCATGTAGATAAGGCACAAGTGTTAAGTGTATTTTATGTGTACTCCTTTCTTAATTTAATAAATAAAAATTTTAAAATCTTAAAATTTGTTTAAATAAAATTAGTGATATTTATTACTATACTATGCTACATATAAGATATTAAATACTATTATTATAACAATATATAATATTATTTTATATTTATTTTGTTAAAAAATTTTTATTATGTTTTTTACATTTGTAAAATGTTTAAATATTAAAAATCTATAAAATTTTTGTTTAGTTTTTTGAAGAAATGGATAATAAAAAATATAAAGAGGTTTTGCTTAAGATTGCATTTAATTTGTTGGATAAAGATGTTAAAGCAATTAAATTTTATTATTCACAACAAATTGGCTATGGTCATCTAGAAAAGATCGAATCTCCCATCGAATTAATTCAAACATTAGAACATCATATGCTTCTAGGGATTGATAACTATGATGCTTTTGTTGAGGTACTTAAAATAATTGGAAGGAATGATCTGATAAAATATTTTTCTGGTAAGTATAATAAAAGTATTATATTGATGCATTACACACATTTGTATGTTACATCTATCAGATTTAGCTACTCTAAAATGTCACTGATAATGTCATACTTAATCAGCCAATAAAATGTTGCATAAGAATTTTATGGTTTTACTGATATATTTATGTTTTTAAAGTTTAACTTTTAATATTTTATTGTTAAAATGTTTTACTTTTGTTATTCTCTATAATTATAAATTGTTTGTTGTATGTTATTAATGTTTTATGATTAAACATATATTAGGGTGGAAGGGGGAAGAAAGAGGTCCAAAATTTTATATTTTTTCTTTAACCAGTTATTCTTATTTAACTTTTTTAGAAAAGTTAAAAAAAGAATCTAGTTTTTTCTATTTTTTTGTGGTTGGCTTTCTATTTTAAGCCAACCACACCCACAATCACTTCTACTTCTATTTAAGCATTTTCAAAGATACTATAAAACATGAAAAATAAAACATTTGCAGTGGTTTCTTAATGTGTTAATGTTATAATAAGAATAATAATGGTTTCTTAATGTGTTCTTTAATGATATGTGTGTATACTGTGCTTGTGCAGAGTTAGATGGAGAAAGATTTTTTATAGGAGAAATGCAATTTGGACTGAAAGTAATCAGCAGTTGAATTTTTAGTGCAAAATGGATAACTCCAGAAAAAAATGTATATCTAAGTACAATAAAATTGATAATGAAGCTATAGAGAACACACTCCAGGAGGTAGATGTTCATATGGCTGACACTATTGTTTATGATTAGGGTTATATAAAAACACAGCTGATACATTTAGGAAAAATCCTACTTGTCAACTGTTTTACACTTCACATACAGCTTAAAGTTTTGAAAGAGCTATTGTAATTCAAATTGAAAATGAAATGAAATATGGATAACTTTTTAAAGGGTTTTCTGTTAGATTTATCTATTAACAAAAGTATTGAAATGTTATCACTGACATTTCTTTTATGGTTACTAAACTTAATTGTTCCAAGTTTTATTCAAAAGCCATGGAAATATCATAAAGAATTTAAAACCTTTATGCAGCATAAAAATAATAATACTTTTCTTTTTGAATTCAAAGATGTTCGATTTAAATGTCTTTCCAAATTTTCTTTTATACAAAAATGTATAAATATACAATTATGTTGGAGACCAACATAAATATATCATCAATAAACTTAACTATAATGTAATCGAAATATAAATTTTGATTACATTAGAGTTACTTAATTCATTTAGTCAACTTTTAGACTTTTCACCATTTTATTATAAAATTAAAGCAAAAGCTTTAATTTTACAATAGCTTTAATGGGAAATATAAGGAAAGAGGGGGAGGGGTCTTAAGACCCCTCCCCCTCCTTCCTTTTATTTCCCCATTTACAACATCTGGACACAAATATAAAATTTACTTGTCTATTGATTGAAAAAGTTTAGCAAGTTTATTATGCTAAATTATGAGTGCAAATGATTAGTATGTTTTATAATCATTTCTCCTCCTTTAGTTACAACTTCCTTCACAACTCTGAACACAATCTTAGAAAGATCAACTGCTGAAATAGAAATAAAACTTGCTGCTAATGCAGTATGCTGCCTAAAAGGAAGTCCCTTGCTTATTGCTGCTAGAACTGTTTTTTCAATATAAGATATCAAAGTTTTACTTACAATTGCAAGAAAAACTGAAAACAATACCTGCTTGAATTATGTTATCTTCTTATTTATTAGGTTTACAAAAAAACTTATATAAAGTCCTTTTAGATTAGTTTATAATTTACTGGCCTATTAATCACCCTTAGTGAAAAAATAGCAAGCAACATATTCTTAGGCATCATTAGGTATTAGTTTTTGATATTACTTCTAAATCATCTCATAAAAATGTAATAGGAGAGAGATCTTTTGATTGGGGAGGTTAAATCATTCTATTCAATATTTGATCATTCTCAAACTGAGTCAAATAAATCATTGATATCTATTTAATTTTTATAAGAAAAAAAAAATGGTTTCCCATTAACTCAACTTTCCAATCATATAACATGACTTTTTAAGTGTCCAAGTGGACTACTTTTGTTATTATTTCCTTTATTTTTACAAGGTTTCCTGTGGTACTTCGACCAAAACAGCCCCACACCTTAACGCTATATCCACCATGTTTTACAGTTGATACACACTATTTTATCATATTTTTCCAAACAAAAAATCTTTTTTTGAAACTGAAAATTTAAAACTTCAACACTTCACTCCACATATATAGTCATTGATGATCCATTTTTATGTAGTTTTGCCCACTTTAGCGTTTTTATTATTCTTATGATTTTTATCAAAGCATTTTAATCAAAATACTTTAATGTTTTTTAAATTATCAAAAATAAACATTAAAAAGAGTTAAATAAAAATAAGCCTACCAATGAGTGCACACTTTTTGTCATCAAAGGCGCATTACGAAGAGTATTTTTAATAAGATTTATCCTTGATTCTTGTAAATGTCCTGTCCTGGCATATTTAGCTCTGGAACTTCTCAATGTTGTTTTTAACAATCTTCCAATGTCGTTTTTAACAGTGAATAGAGAATAAAAGTTTTGCATATTATAACTAAAGATATTTAGTTTTAATATATTATTAAGATATAATATGGTATATTAATTTTACATATTAATATGTAAAACTACTTTATCATATAGTAATTGATCAAAACCTAAGGTTCCAAATCAAAAAAAAGTTATTGTTTGTTTTCAAAATCAACTTTACCGTCTAAAGAAGATCATAGTTAATATTATAAAAATATAAAAAGATCAATGTTTAATACAATTTTGTACAACCTAATTTAACTTTAAAAAAACATCAAAGACCCAAAAATTTAACTAAGGTTAATTATTAATTAGTTTTAGCAAACATATAAAGGGGTCAATGTCACTGTCAATTTGGTTATTGATATAGCTAAATACCTTTTATAAAACAGGTTCCAGTATTTTTTAACTAAATAACTATGACAAGGCTCATTTGATAATTAACTTTGGCCAACAACAAGCCATAGGTAAATGAAAGGGTAACCCATTTATAACTGATATTGAGTATAATAAAATTGATACAGTAAGGAACTCCAATGTACTTCAAACCAATAATAAAACTAATAATCTTGATAATGAAATCTTAAACAATAGTCCCAAGTCTAAAAAAATGTCTGTTTTAATAGCCACAAATCTTATAAAAACATTATTTCTTATAAAATAAAAAGATAAAGAAGTTTTCTATTTAAAACTAAAGTACCATAACTGTTTAATTAAGAATATTGCAAGATTCAATTCTTTATTCACCAATTCATATATAAATATATGAATCGGTGAATGTTAAAAGGGCGGAAGTCTAATAATGTTATCTTTCGGGAAACTAAAAAACACTGCATTTTCCATTGTAGTAAATTTTTATTAATGGTTCAATAGTTTTTTTTTGAAGATGAAAAACATTATCCTTTTCAAAAAATAATTATTAAATCATTAACAAAAATTTACTACAGGGGAAAATGCAGTTTTTTTTAGTTTACCAAAAGTGTACAAAGTTGGACTTCCGCCTTTTTAACATTCACCGATTCATAGATGTATTTATAAATTTTTTGTATAAAAAAAAATTGTAATTGTAAAACGTAATTGGGGTATCAAAAGTGTTTGTCAAGCTTTAAAAATTAAAAGTAACCTATTAAGTTGAAGCTGAAGAAAGTGTTGCAAAAAAAAAATTTATAATAATATTTCAAAATTTTATAAATAAAATCCGTAAAATTATTAAACTAAATAAGTAGTTCAACCAATTCTTTTAATCATTACATTATATGATATTTTTTAAGTAAAAAATTTTACAACTTTATTTAGTTTTCACTTTGTTATTGCATCTTTCAAACATACCGCGATACAGTTCAAATACTATAAAATGTTTTTAATAAAATCTTTGTTAAATGTCTAATATTTATTTGTTGGAGTTTGAAGACCCTTTCTTAATATCTTTTCTGAACAAATTTGTTCTTTTTATTATTTACTTGATTTTATACAAGATCTTTTGAATAATGAGCAAACACAAAAATAAAGAGTATGAAATATTTAAAGAAGTTTCTCTCAATCTTGGTTAAGTTAATAAAATAAGATAAACCTCAACATCTTGAAGCAACTCTGCCATCAAATAACAGCTTCTTTTTTTTTTTTTTAGCTTTTTGGTTGATGTTCATTCTGCAATTCTAAATAGCAATTCTAAAAAGCATCAGATAATACAGACCAAAGATCACCTTAATTATTTAAATTATTATATTTTTTATTAGTTCCACAATTACACTTTTCAAAAAAAAATTTGTAGAACATGTTAACATGTCTAATATCAGTTTATGCATTTGTTTGTTGCATTAAAGAGACCCTATTTGAATGCTGTGTTGTCACATTTGAATTTTTGTTCTATCTCAAATTTTATAATACACTGGTGGAATTAAATTTGATTGAAGCATTTCTATTCCCAATTACAATGCAAAAAGAACTGATATTATTGATAAAATTATTTTTTTACAAAAAAAAATTCTTCTTTTAGACCTAATATAAAATAACCGATGATCTATTTATCTACTAAGTTCTCCATTTCTTAGATTATTGTGAACTTATTGTTAGTTTAGGCACCATAAATGATCTACATAATTTTCAACATAAGTTCAAAACTTGCACTTATATTTATATTTACAATTTTTTTCAGCACACTTATGCCAGTTTGAGCTTATGCCAGTTCCCACTTATGCCAGTTTTTGTGACTGCTTTGCACTTATACCAGTTTGCACTTATGTCAATTTGCACTTATGCTAATGATTGCAAATTTATTCTGCACACTTATGCCAAATTGTATTTATGCCAGTTCGCACTTAATCCAGTTTCTGCAATTCCTTTGCACTTTTATTAGTTTGCACTTATGTCAATTCACACATGCAATTGTTTGCAAATTCTTTTGGCACACTTATGCCAAATCAGAATATGCCAGTTTGCAATTATGCCAGTTTTTGTAACTGCTTTTCACTTATGTGAAAAGCACTTATGCAACTTAGTTATTTCACCAGGCAATAAATAAGAAGTTAGTGTGCAATTTAACTTTAAATCATTTAAATTCAGACTATGAACTTGTTTCTTAAGTTTTTGCATGTTTGTAATTTTGAAATTAAAAGGACTTGGAATCATAATTTTTACATAATCACCACTCCAAAACTTTAAAACATGTTTTGATGAAATTTGAGTTATTTGAATATATATATATATATATATATATATATATATATATATATATATATATATATATATATATATATATATATATATATATATATATATATATATATATATATATTCTAAGTTTTGTATCATTTAGAAGCTGCAAGTTCACCAGAAAAATCTTCAAAATGTTCTGCTAAGAAAGGTATATATAATTTTTTATTTAACATTAACGATGAGAACTAAGTGTGTTTTGTTTGCCTAAAAGGTGTGGTAAAAATGGTGACTGATTTTATTTCATTGTGGAAGAATACTATACATCAAGTACCTAATATATATCTAACAAGATGCTAAGATAGCTTTCTTTGGTTGCTTTTTTAATAATTGTTACAATCATTAGTTTTGTTTATTTTGCCAGTTGCTTATGTAAGAGATCATTGGTTATCATTGGTTGTTTTCTAACTTTTAAACAATCCCTATTTAATAAATTGAATAAAATAAGTTTAATATATTCATTTATCAAGTGGTACCTTATTTTGATTCCTCTTATAAACATTTATCAAGTGTTATGTAATTTTGATTTTCCTTATGAGCATAATATAAATCAAAAAGTTTGTAGTTGTTTGAATTTTGTTCAAAACTAAAAAATTGGACCAAGACTTCATTACATCCATCTCATGGTATAATCTTGCTCAACTTGTTTATCCATGTTATCCATGCAGAGGTCATTCTTTGAGTTTCTTGAGTTTGTGTTTTATAGCTTTTAGAGAGGGTCCTATTAACAAAACAAATTATATTTTGTTTTATAAAATATGGGTTTTATTTATAAAAATATCTTTTTTTTGTTTTCACTTTAACAATATCTCTTTCAGCTTAAAAATGATTTTAATTTTAAATCAAAAAATTTGTAAACACAATTAAATGATTATGATAGGCTCTATCATTTTATATATTTTTTTTTTTATATATTTTTATAGATTTTTTATATATATTGTTAAGAGTTGGAGTTATGTAACAAAAAAATTGCAAAAGTATTGAACTCATTCATTAAAAATAATTAACAAAGAAACTGGTGGCATTTTTCCTGAGTGATTTTTCATAACATTTATTACTTATAAAGTTATCGAATTGAAAATAGTTTTTCTGCAAGACCAAGACCAACTGTAAAAAAATTATTTTATTATTACAATAATTTTTTTAAGTTAATCTTGGTCTTGCGGACTATCATTAATGGGCACTGAAATCAATTTTATTCTAGAAATAACTACTGCTCTTATATTTCGTTCTTTTTTCTTTCAAAATAAAAACAACAATAGTAAATTAAAAAATTATATGTTGAAAATATTTATCACAAATAACAAGATGTTCAGCTTTTTAACAGAATAAAAATAATGCAAATAATAATCTTTGGTAAAAAGATCATTATAAAGGATCTTTAAGTTGAAAAAAGATTTTGCGAATAATGACATTACATTTGTGCTAAATAAAATATAATAAAATACGAGAAATTAAAAAAACTTGAGCTCTTTTGTAAACACTCTTTCAAATAGATCTCTTGGTTTATTGCTCGGCCAGAAGAAACAGAAGAAAAACCTTTTTGATGGTTAAACATTTTCTTTATTTTGATGTGGTTGTTTTGTGTATTAAAAGTAGGCCATTTTCCATATCCAGCTTTTTGATCCAATGGTCTATTTTGATTGTAACCATTCATATAACTTTTAATTGTAGCTTTTGAGTAGCCTTCCATCTTGAAATAATTTCAAACAACGTGTTTACTATTATCATGCTTTTTAGGTAAAAATTGTACACAAAACTTTTTTTTAACTTTTAAATTAACTTTGATTTGACATTTTAAATTGTTATCTGAACAAAAAATAATCAGACAATTTATATACTTTATGATGGAGGAAAGTTGATGGAGTTTTTCATACCAAGTACTAATTAATCAAACTTACTAATTAATTATTGTTAATTTTCAAATTTTACAGCACAGGTTTTTTATTAATTATTTGTAATTTTTAACGTTCAAAATAACAATACAAATTACAGAAAGAATATAAAAGGAAAAAAATACATTTATAAAACAGTTTTAAATTAAAATACAAAACAGTTTTAAATTAAATAAATCTACTATTAGTAGATCAATGTTTTCTAACATCTCTCTTTGCTTTCCTAATAGGCTTCCTAATGAGACATTCCTCCAATTAAAAGAAGGGGCTGTTTTTGCTTCTATTTCAGACCCATAATTTATGTGTCCCATAGAATGTTAGCTCTCTATTTTAGCATAAAAGATGTTAACTTACCTGTTGCTGTTTTCACTTTTGTTGCTGTTGTTGTTGTTATCATTATTTAAAAATATAATTCAATATATATCAATTCAATATGATTCATTTCAATATAAAATGTTAGCAAACATTAAATTATATTATTATATCTTACAGGCCTTGCGATGAATAAGAACTGCGCGACGCATAAGCACGACGTGATTTTTGACGTCATTAAATTCTCTTTATTTGCTTTTCATATTTATCAACATTAACTTCACCAATTTACTTAATTACCGCAAAACTACTTTAAATCGTTTATGTTATTATTTAAAAATGTTTTGGAATGTTTCGTTTTTTAAAATGTAAAAACATTTGTTTATTTTATCGACGTTTGTTACGTTTTGTCTATACTAAACGAATAAAAAACATTTTAACTTAAATTTAAAAAAGATTATAAAATATGCTAATATTTGATTTTTTTTCTCGTATTAATAAAAAACTTAAACGAACGTTTTGAATAGATTTTTAATGTTAACAAGGAATTTTATTTCTAGTAAAATAAAATAAAATGTTAGAATAAAAATCTTATAGGTATAAAAGAAATATTTCAGTGAAAAAATTATTCTTAAAAATTATTATTAAAAATTATTCGAAAAACTATTGACGTTTTATTTTTCAGCAGCTGTTCTTGAGCACGCTTCGTTGAGTTTCATTAACTTTTAACGTAAAAGCGATCGTTATTATTTAAACTCAAAAAAATTTTTTGAGGTACTTTTTACTAGGGATGTACCGAAGCTGCAATTTTGCCGAAGCCGAAGCTTCGGCCGAAGCCACTTTGCCGAAGCCGAAGCTTCGGCTTAAGTTATACGTAATTTAAAGCTCAATTTACTTCACCACGGTGGTTTGAATAATCAAGTTGCTTTCAAAATTATATATCAATGTTTTAGGTTTCAATGTTTTGGACTACATGCCCATTTTAGGAAAATTATAAAACAAAACCAATATTATAAAAAATTTAAACAAATTTTGTACAAAAATTTAGAGAGTGAAATTTAGAGTCTTAACTCTATATATCTAGCAGGTATAGGAAAGATTACATCTTAAATTCTTTCTTCAATCTTAGACATTTACTGATACTTAAGGTAAATTATGGTCTATTCTTTGAAAAAATTTATAAAAATGTAAACACGTAAAATGTAAAAATATAAAAGTAGTCATTATTTTAATTTGACACAAAATTTGGTATTTGTTTTAAATTTTGTTAAAAAGTTGAATCAGTTGAACTTTTTTCTTTTTGCTTCAAATATGTTTCCAGATGTGCTAAATAAGCGTTCACTTTTTACAGATAAAGGAGGCGCGCACAAAACTTTCTTTCAAAACTTTGACAAATTCAACTTGTAAGTATCTTTATCAGAGGAAGTGTAACGGTATGCACTCCACCACTTATAAGGGCATTCATTCTTTGGCAGTATTGGAAGGCTCAAGTAGAAGTTGACTTCATCGGTGTTGATACATAAAATATAGGTGATAATTTTAGGTTTAAATTTTTAAAATATTACAATTTAATCAACTAAACAAAATAAAAGAATGCTGTTATCCGTCTTTTGAAATAAAAAAAATGGAGAATAAGAATAGAGATAAAAAAAATATTTAATATTTAATGTATAAACAATATAAAAATCATAAATAGATTCTGTTTTCTTACCATTTTTCTTTGACAGTTCAAAATCTGAGTCGGACTCATGAATTTTAGATTCTGAAAATGAACTTAATGATTCTTCTGAGTCTGATCCACTACCTCTTGCTACACCAAATTCAATTTCTTTTACTTGTTCTAAATGAGATTTGGAACAACAACGGTAGAACTCTAAATGGAGTATTTCTTTAAACATATTATGATTCTTGTCTTCAACAAACTTTAACTTGAAACAAGGATCAAGCATCATCGCGATTTTTAAATCAACATTATCCTTGTATTTTTGAAAACGACAGTTAAAATCTTTCTTAAGTTCATCAACAACAGTTTTTATTTCAGTTGCCGTGTCACAAGCGTAGTCTAGAAACTTTTCCATTGCATAGATAAATGGTATAATCTCTGATATACATGCCGTTTCTTTACTCATGTCTTTTGTAGTACTTTCGAAGTGTTTTAATATGCATACAAGCATTTCAGCAAGTTGCCATTGATTTTCCGTAGGATTTTTTGCATTTGTTTGATTTCTGGTAATGTAATACAATGTAATAGCTTTTTTCTGCTCAATGAACCTTTCAAGCATATAGTATGTCGAATTCCATCTTGCGGAAACATCTTGAATTATGTTATGCTCTGGCAATTTTAGTTGACTTTGAATTTTTTTTAGTTTAGCCACAGCACTAGATGAGTGATGGAAATGTCCTGCTAATGCTCGAAAAACAGCTATTGTATCACTTGCTGTTCTTTGTTCTCTAAAAATCTTTTTCTGAATACAAAGTTGTAAAGTGTGTATCAGACATGGAAGATGTTTATCGCCTAAATTTGACTCTTTAATGGCAGCCATTGCATTGGCTGCATTATCAGTTAAAACTGCATGAATTTTTTCATGGGGAATTTCCCATGATTGTAGCGCTTCATTTATAAATTTACTTATATTTTGCCCTGTGTGCGACTCAGGGAAGTGTGTAACTTGTAAGATGACATGTTTAACTGTAAACTCATGCGTTACAAATCTAGCTGTTAAACTGTAATACGATTGAATTGTGTGCTGGCAGGTCCAACCATCACTAGTTAAACTTAGTAAATCTGCTTGATCAAGCTCATATTTTACTTTGGCTTTTATGGTTTCATACATCAGTGGAATGACTTTTGTGGAGAAATACTTTCGACTAGGTATTGTATAGTTTGGAGCTAAATTCTTTAAAAGTTGGGTAAAACCTTTATCTTCAACAATACAGTATGGCTGCATATCTAAACATATCATTTCTCCAATAAGCTTGGTAATAGCTTGAGCCTTAGGATTATCAAGTTGCCACAATTCTTTTCTTTGCGAAATCTCCCGCAGTGAGACCTGAAACAAATTCAACGAATTAAAAAAATTACTTAGCAACTTGTAACTAATAATGGCCAGCGACGGATCTAAGTGGCGGATAGAGGTATGTATCTTTCCCCCCTCACCAGTACATTTATTATAATATTTTAAGCTTAGATAAGTTAAGTTAACATTTTTCTATACAAAAGATAATTTTTCGACAAGACATGCCCCCATCCAGTCACAAAATCATGAATACTGAATAGTAAATGAATTCAGCTACAGTTAGCTGAGTTACCTGTGTCGATGCTTTTTGAAAAAAGGCAATTGTGTTATTAGACACACGCGAGCTTCCTGCGTTTTATATGTGGCAGTGCTGGTAATGATTTGCACTGATTCAGCAGAGCTTGTTCTATCTGAGCATATTGTTCGAGTAGTGCAAAATTGTTTTATAGACTTTTCATTTGGATTTGGTAAAGATTCGTAGTTAATAATTTTCTTCTGAGAAAGAATCATGCTATGTATATTGTAATGTACTTTTTTCAGATGGTTTTGTAAATTTGTTGTTGACATGTTGTGTGCGTCTTTACTTCCTCTAGACAAAATCTTCTTGCAAAGTATGCAGATGGCTTTGCCAACATCTTCATCACTCACTTTAAAATAATTCCATAAGGGATTTTTACTTCGCGATGAGGTAGCCATAATGCGCTAATGGATAACTTAAAGTTATAATAACAATTCTGAAAATTGAAATAGAAAGTTTAATTATTTTCTTACCTTTCTTACCTTTAAATATTTATTGAAATAAACAATATTCGTTCAATTTTTTGATTCAAATATTATTTGAATTAAAAAAAATCGAAGTCGTAAATAACCAATTAACCTTTATTTGTAGAGCAGGTATATTTACTTTTACTAATGATCCAGCGTACAAAATCAAAAACTTTGACTTACATTTCAATAAACAATTGACTTACATTTCAATTGTGCTTTTCGGTGTAGTGTCTTTTCTGTGTAGTGTCTTTTCTGTGTAGTGTCTTTCTGTGTAGTGTCTTTCTGTGTTCTGTCTGTGACTTAGTAAAACAAACTTTCTGAATAAAAATTGTTACGTGCGTTAAAATTAACTTATTGTATAGATTTTTTAAAATTTCGAGAATAGTTAACTCTCTTAACTCTCGTGCGCTATGTTTTAGTTACATCTAAGTAATTTTAAATGAAGATTTATTTCCAGGTTTAATTTTTAATTTTAATTTAATATTAAAAAATATACAATTTAACATAACTCGGATTTTAGAAGTTGATGCTAACTAATAACTAAATGCTAAAAAAATTAAATTTTAATAATTTTTCATTATTTTACTACCAACTAATGCATAAATAAATTTTATTGCTAAGCTCGAGTGATCGTAACTAAATATTAGGGTTATGGTATTTAATTATATAAAGTTTACTATAATGTTACAGTTTAAATCAGCTTATATTGAGTGATTATAAAAAAAATCAATGTGTTTCATTAAGTAACTTTACTTTCTATCCGCTATCGTGCCGTTTTTGGCCGCCCTACACGCGGCCTTGCCACCTCCAAAAGCCGTTGCTGGATTCATTTAATCTTCGCAACTGTATAAATCAGAGGCTTATTTAAATTTCTCAGAAGAAGAAAAGAAAAAGAAGGATTTTGAACGTTCAACTACGTTTTATTCGGAAAACAGACAACGTGTGAACGTTTAAAAAATGTCTTCCTCAGTCGAATGCCAGCTTAGTAATGTCCATTTTTTTGCCGAAGCCAATGATTCGGCAAAAAACGCCCATGGCTTCGGCCGAACCGAAGCTTCGGCAAAATTGCCGAAGCATCGGCAAACCGAAGCCGAAGCCGAAGCTTCGGTACATCCCTACTTTTTACAAAAATTTTAATAACAGTACTTTTTTATTGAATCAAGTAGAATACGTTTTAATATTAATCCTTTTTTTTTTTTTATTTTGCGCTCACCAATTTTTAAAATGTTTCCTCGAAATTACTCTTAAATACTTTAAATACGTCTAACAGTTAATAAATATTCTTAAATCTATGGAATAATTTTAAAACCTAACAAACCCCCGTAAAATAATTATTTAAGTTTAAAATCTAAAACTAAAAAAAGTATTTTTGTTCAATTTTATCGACAACTTTGCTATTGCTGAATAATTTTATTAAAATGTTAGCTTAAAATATTTAAAATTTTTTTTTAATCTGAATTTTTTCTACTTGTAAATAATGAGCATATTTAATTTTTTTTAATTCAAACTTTTATTTCAACTGCGTGCGGTTTTTAAAATACTTTATTAAATGTTAAAATAATCGTAAATTACTTCATTAAAATTCCGCTCAAAAATATCTTTAAATATACTTAAACAAAAAATTTTTTGCTCGACGCAAATAGCCCTAGCTACACGCAAAATCGCTCTTGGACGACGTAAAATTCACATCGCCCGACGCTTTATCGCAAGGCCTGCTATAGTACAACAGGATCTGTAAAATACCGAAATTGCAGTGTTTATGAATTAAATGTGATAATGTATTCTGTTAATAGGTTTATTAAAAGGTTAAAGCAACTACTACTTATACTTATATAGGATGAAACAACTTATATAACATGGCTTATACTTATATATGAGTCATTCCATGCCATCTGGACCATGGTTCAACATTGATCCTTTCAGATTTTGATGAAATTGGGTGGGTTGGTTAACATTAATGTATTATTATTTATTTATATTTATAAAAAAAATAGCAAAAGCAGTTTGTATATAAAAATTACAGATATCTCAAAAAAAAAAAACTTTTCTTAAGAAAAAAATTACAAATTTTAGTGGTTAAGATGGTGGTTATTTTTCACAATTGTGAACAATTTCTAGCACTCTCTAGCCCTCTGGATATGTCTGGTGGGTAAAGGATATTGTAAATTTGTAGCCCACTATCACATCTATCTTTTGATTCTAATTTAAAGGCAATTAGATAAGAGTTGACAAAGTTATAATAATTTTAGTTTTTCAAAACATTATTTAATATATATATATATATATATATATATATATATATATATATATATATATATATATATATATATATATATATATATATATATATATATATGCATGTATAATTTTATATACTCAATATAATCTTAAAATATTTAATGTTTTGAAAACTTGAAATATCTAAAACCTCAATTTTTAAATAATAAAAAACAAGCGTACTTGTTTAATTCAACTTTCTGTTGATACCAAATGCAAAAGATAAAATCTTAAAAACGACGGATATTTTATACTACTATTTTTTCAATCACATCAGTAACTTGACTTTAAAACAAAGCTACACACCCATTTATTGACTTATTGTTTTCTCATGTTACACGTTTGCTGCGATTTGTCTAAAAATTTTTACTGATGATTATCCGGAATTTTACTAGGAGATTTCCGAAGTTGACATATTTTTTCATTTTCCAAATTGCACGGTTAGCACGGATCCTTATAATGCCTACCTACCGAGAAAAAAAACCCCGCTAATCCTGTTAAGTTCCTAATAAGTTTCCTACTAAAACTTAGTAAGTTCCCGCCGAGTACTTACTAGGAACTTAGTAGGATTAGCAAGTTTTAGTAGGAAACTTAGTAGGATTAGCAAGTTTTAGTAGGAAACTTAGTAGGATTAGCAAGTTTTTAGTAGGAAACTTCCAGAGAAAAAAAACCTCGCTAATACTACTAGGAATATGTTTAACTTCCTGCTAATCCTGTTAAGTTCCTGCTAATACGGCTAATCCTGGTAAGTTTTCGCTTAATACAGCTAAACCTATTAAGTTTCCCATTAGTGAAATGACGTTTATGAATTTCCTGCTAATCCTAGTAAGTTCCTACTAAGTACTTATCAGGATTAAACGAATTACTTAGTAAGTTCCTAGTAAGTTTTCAAAAATAAAACAAGTATAAAAAATCGTCTTTGTTATACGCCATCTTTTATTTATTCACACGGAAGACAAGTCAGCCATAAAACAGCTTTTTTAGATTCAATAGTTTTACTAATTAATATTTGTAATTCTATAAAGAAAAAGCTCAAGAACATCTAGGGATGATTGCTTGGTTTGCAGTTTATTTGATGAATATTTGTTAATGTGTTATAATGTGGTTTTAAATGTTAATTTTAACTCTATATAAATTCGAGCATTTTCTGTTGTATCAATTCGAGCATTTTCTGATTCATAGTGATATATATGGTGACGTGTTTTTTAAATTATATTTTATTTTTATTTCTCATTGTTTATGATTTTATATTGTTTAATAAACATAAAATCATAAATCATAATCAATTATATTGTCACTCTTTCTTTTTACTATTTCTTTTTACTAAAAAGAGTGACTTATCTTTATTAATAAAGATTTGTCACTTTGTTTTAGTATAAAGAAAGACTTTTATTTTTAATTTCCTTAAAATTTTATTTGTAATTTTATTTAAAAAGTCAAATTTTTATGTCAAAAAATCACTCACTTCAAGCTTGACTAAAAGTTTTAGTCAGACTAAAAGGGAGTAAACCATTTGACATTAAAATTGATCAATATTGAAATCGCTCTCTCATAAAATATATATAAACATTTTTTTACTGGTAAATATATTTTTATTGTTATCTCTTGTTAACAAGATTTAACATTTCTTTTTAACATGTTAAACAAACTATAAAATTATTGAATATTGTTATATTTTGTATTACAATTTTTATTTACTTAACATAAAGATTTTTGTTATAAATGCCATTATATAAATTAATTTAAAATTTCCATAATTTAATTTTATGATATTTTGATTAATTACTACTGTATATAGTATATAATTATACTGTATATAGTTATATAATGCTAGTTACTCAAGTTTTTAGTAATATATATATATGCACTAAATATATATATATATATATATATATATATACATATATATATATATATATATATATATATATATATATATATATATATATATATATATATATATATATATATATATATATACTAACCCGAGAAAAAAAACCCGCTAAACCTGTTAAGTTCCTAATAAGTTTCCTACTAAAACTTTGTAAGTTCCCGCCGAGTATTTACTAGGAACTTAGTAAGATTAGCATGTTTCAGTAGGAAACTTAGTAGAATTAGCAAGTTTTAGTAGGAAACTTAGTAGGATTAGCAAGTTTTTAGTAGGAAACTTAGTTGGATTAGCAAGTTTTTAGAAGGAAACTTAGTAGTATTTGTATGAAAATATGAAACTAAGTTAAATTAAAAAAATTTAAATAAGCCTCGTGTGTGTATATATATATATACATATATGTATATAAATATATATATACATATATGTATATAAATATATACACACATATATGTATATAAATATATATACATATATATATATATATATATATATATATATATATATATATATATATATATATATATATATATATATATATATATATATATATATATATATATATATATATATCAGTGGCGTAACCATTAAATTTGCACCCCCCTCCCCCCACTAAAGAAGTAAAGGGCCCTGCTTAAAATTTTTCTCCCACTTTAGATTTTTTCAAAATATATTTAAGAATGAAATATCCAATATTTCCTTTTTATATTAAGTTAATATAATACAATTAAGTCTATAAAAAATTTAATTAAACTTAAAATTA